AAAAAAACTATTATAAATTTTATTATAATTAGGTACTTTTTATATTATCATTTTTATAGAAATAATAATAATAATACTATTATTATAATTTTGTTTAAATTTCTATTCCTATATGATAGTGATTGTTATTTGATCGAAATATTGTTTATTTTATTATTATAATTGTGATATTATTTATATTAAAATAAAAAAATTAAAATATTAAATAAATATATAAAAATTGATTATTTTGATTTTTTTAAATCTATTATTTTGTTGTTTTATTATTTATAAATATTATTTAATTTTTATTAATTTTATTTTATTATATTATTAATGTTATATTAGTCTCTATATTTTATTTAAAAATAAATAATGAATAATAATCAATTTTATTTAAAATTTAACTGATAGAAATTTTTTTTTTATATTTAATTTTTAATATTTTAATATAAAATGAGATTTTATTATAATATTATTATATTTTTATATTACTTTTACTATTTTGTGTTTAAAAAAAATGAAAAAAAAAAAAAAAAAAAAAAAAAAAAAAAAATAATGAAAAACAATTAAAAATAAAAAAAAATCATCTTTACTTATATGGATAATAATAAATAGTATAATATAATATTTTTGATGATTGTTAACATATAAAAAAAATTAATTATTTTAGGTAATTAAAAATAGTAATAAAAAATAATAATTAAAAATAAACTTTATTTTAATATATCGAGTGAGTGGGTGAATATATTACCATTTAAATTTTTTTTTTTTTTTTTTTTATTTACCACATAAAAATATACATAAACTTTTAAAAAATATATTTGTTTTTTTTTATTTTTCATTATACCTCATTAGGAAAGTATTTTTGATTTGTTTTATAGTGAATAAATATGAGAAATTTTTTTTTTTTTGTGATCAAAATTATTATTATATGAGAAAATTTCAGGTTTTATTATAATAACTTCAACATACTCCCTATGTTGTTTTATATTGTTATATAATTTTTCAAGATGTGTTAAAAAAATAACAACAAACAAAAAAAATTTCTTATTTTATTTTGTTTTATTCAAATATAGAAAGAGATAAAAATTTTTTTTTAATTATAACGGCTAAAAATAAAAAATGAAAATTTAAGAAAAAAAAAAAAAAAAAAAAAAAGTTTTGGGGGGTTCATTGTACAAATAAATCTTTTTTTGGTTCACTATCATGAAATAAAAACAATTAGTACTCTTTTTGAAAAAAGTATCACATAAACAGTTAATGAAAATATTAAATAGATTCAGATTCATATTAAATATTTTTGAAAAAAAAAAAAAAATTTTAAAAAATTTTATTTTTTATTTTTTTTTATTTTTTTTTATTTTTTTTTATTTTTTATAATTTTTTTTTTTTTAAAAAAATTCTCTTTCTTTAAAATAAAAAAAAAGTTATAAAAATAACCTAATAATATTACTGATTGTTTTATTTCAATAGAAAAAAAAAAGAACTTGTATTTTCTTTATCGAAAACAATAATAGATTAAACTATAAAGGATACACTTTTTTTTTTAAATTTTTTTTGTTGTACCATTTTTTTTTAAAATTTTTTTTATTTTGTCATATTAATCTTTAACCCCCACACACTCACATAAATACCCACACATACATAATAATTGAAAAAAAAAAATAACAATAACAATAAAAAACTAAGCGGGTAAATATTTATTTCTACTATTATAATATTTTTTATTTTTACTACAACTTCTTTATAATTATTTTATTATTATTATAATTAGTGTAAAATAAAAAAAAAGGCAATAATTAATAATAGAAGATTAATTAACTAATTTACATTTCTTATTTTTTAATACAGGGTTATTATTATTTTCTATTAAAATTTTAATAATTAAAATGTCAAATATTGTATTTGAAGAACCAAATCAATCACATGAAGCAAATACAATAGAAGAAAATAATATAAATCAACAAAATAAATCAACATTAACAATTAGTAACAAAGAAACCATTACAATAATGGCATCAACAACATCACCTTCACCATCGCTATCATCGGCATCATCTTCATCAACAGCCTCAAATAGTTCAACAACAAAGAAATCAACCCCAACCACTACCACCTCAAGCACATCATCACCATTAAAATCATCAACAGGTTTAAACAAATCAACAGAGCTTAAACGTTTAGCAGCAAAATCACCAGAAATTAAAAGAACTACAGCCACAGAAATCAAAAGACCATCTTCGTCGATGGGTCCAGTTAAACCAAAACCACAGTTGGAATATAAAAGATCATCATCATCTTCAAGTTTACCAACAATTGCTTCAAAAAAATCAACCTCGTCAAGTTTATCATCAACCTTTAGTGGTAACAGTAGCATCAGCAGTAGTATAAGTAAATCGGCATCCTCTTCTCCATCAAGCTCATTGAGCAAAACAAGACCAATGACAACAAGTACTACTACATCATCATCACCATTAAGAACCTCAGCAACCACTACAACTGTTAAATCTACAGCAACAACTTCACCAAGGGTTAAAAGTACCACCACTAGCACAGGTGTTACATCATCACCAAGATCAACAATAACCTCAACTGTAGTTTCATCACCAAAATCAACAGCAATTTCAACTCCAACCAAACCATCAACCCCAACTGGCAAACCAATAGCTTCAAAGGTTTCATCATTAACACCAACTTCATCCCCATCAACCACTACTAGATCAGCAACATCCACTACCTCATCACCATCTACCAATAGATTATCAGGTACTTTCCGTAATCTATCACTTGGTGCAACAAGCGGTTCATCATCACCAAGATCTACAACAACAACCACTACAACTACCAGCAGATCTTCATCATTATCGACACCAACTAAACCATCAACTACAAGATCATTATCAAATCCCTCACTCAAAACTACTACACCCTCAACACCAACCACTCCAAAATCAAATTCTACTTTTAGTAGTCCAACTTCATCACCATCAGTTAAATCATCAGCTTCATTATCACCAATGGAATTTTGGAAAAAGAAAGAAAACGAATCATCACCAAAAAGTTCACCATCAACATCGGCTGCATCATCACCAAGAGCTAGACCAACTATGGGATCATCATCTACACCAACAAGATCATCTCCATCCATATCCTCTACACCAACTCGTAGAACAACCACAACTCCATTATCACCACTCCCAAATATTAAATCGACATTAGCTTCAGCATCTGCAACAAAGTCAACTGCTTCTACTTCACCATCGACAACATCACCAAAATCAATAAGAAGATTAAGCACACCAGTTTCTAGTACATCAGCTAAAGAATCACCAATTAAACCAAAATCAGCTTCAGGTTTTAGCACATCAAATAGAACTTCGCCAGTCGTTAAAAAACCAATTAATCCAAATCCAGCTCCACACTTTACTTCACCAAACAAAAATTTACCAAATAATGAAACAACTGTAAATAAAATAGAAAATAGTGATTCAATTAAACTTGCTGAAGAATTAGAGGAGCAAAAACCACAAACCGATGAAAATACCGTTGATAATAAAATAAATAAAGATGAAGAAGATATTGAACAAATGGAAAACGAAATCAAAGAAATGGAAAAAGAATTAAAAGAATTGGAACAAAAAGAAAAATTAGAAGAAAAACCAGAAGAAAAACCAGAAGAAAAAATAGAAGAAAAAATAGAAGAAAAAATAGAAGTAAAGGTACACGAACAAGCAAATGAACAAAAAGATATAAATGAAAATAAAGATGAAATGATTATTGATCAATCGATTTCAGTTGTTCAGACAAACAATAACATAGAACCAACCGATGGTATTTTCTTTAGTAGCGAAAAAGAATCAACACCAACCAACACTGATTCATCATCATCATCATCATCAACAAACTCAAATACAAATGAAGATGGTAATAATAATACTTTATCAAATAGTGCAACAAATAATAACAATAAAGGTAAAGACGATGACGAAGAAGATGATAAAGAAAAACAAGCAAAACAAATTGAAAAAGTTGATGACAAGGAAGTAAAGGAAAAAGAGGAAGAAGAGGAAACAAAGTCTGAACCAATTAAAATTGAAGCTGATGCATCAAAATCACAAGATAATAATATAAATGAAGAGGATAAAAAACGTAAATTAGATGAAGAATCAAAAAATCAAACTGAAGAGCCAGTAGAAAAGAAAACTTTTGTCCCACCACCATTAGTATCATCATTGTCATCACCATCATTAAATTCAAGCGGTGGTAATATTTCAAATACAGCTTCACCAATTATAAATACCAATAGCAATGGTACACCAACAACTTCATTACATCAATCATTATTAATTCCAAATCCAAATGCCAACACAACCGAGTCAGCACCAGCAACCCCAAATCCAGTATTTAAACCAATGTTACCAGCAAGAGATTTTAAAGAAGACACCAAAAAGATTTGGTTAAGACCATTTTTAAATGTACCAGTCGGTGTTGATTTACCAAGATTATGTTCATGTATTTCAGTTTATAATAAACAAGAAGCTGACGATGTAGCTGCTGAAGTAGATTTAGCTCAAAGAGAAAATCCAAAGAAACAAGTCATTGGATGTATTATTAGCTTTAAAGAAATTATTCCAATCTAGAGGAGACACAATTTCAAAAAATTCAAGTAAGTCAGCAGAAGAATTAGTTGAATCCTTTTCACAAGTTCCTCCAAATGAATCCAATGCATTATCAAAATATTTATTAGAAGAATTTGGTGAAAATTCACCAGTTTTACAAGCACTCAAAGTATGTAATCAAGCAATCATCGCACCATCAGTTATTCAATTAAGACTGGATATATGCCCAAAACCAATGTTTAAAGATGCAGGTGGTTGGAACATCAATATATCAGCAATCGATAACGACACTGTAATTATATCACACCAAAAGAAACAACAACATATGGATACAAGAAAAGAAGAAGAATATTTTGAATTTATATGGGAGTTGGAATTAATTTTCAATGGAGATTTATCTCAACTCAATAGTGTAACTTTATCAATAATAGAATTAAATTTCGGTGAAAAAACTAGACAAGATAAAAAAGATGAATATCAATCATTATTCCAAAATCATTTTAAATTAAAAAATGATTAATAGATATAATAATAATTAATAATCATAATTTTAATCATAATTTATATATTTAAATATATTTAAAAACTAATTAATAATAAATAATTTAAAAAATTAAAAGACAATTAACCTTAATATTATTATAGTTTTTTTATTATAATAAATATTTTTATTTTTATTTTTATTTTTATTTTGTTCTATTTTTCTCTTTTATTATTTACCAACATTATCTGAACCAAAAAAATGTAATATCTATTATATGTTTTTACATGAGTATATTTATGGCACTATTATAATGCATTTGTTAATATGTATATTATAAAATGCATATTCATGAGTATGTTCATGTGGATATAAATGTGTATGTGCATGTGAATATAAATGTCTATATGTATGTGTATGTGAGAGAATATGTGCTGTGTGAGAAAGGGTATATGAATTAGGATGGGTATGTGTACTGGTAGGAGTATCAGTATCAGTATTACCATGCCCATGTATGTGTTGCATTTTTATGTGAATGTGTATGCATGTGCATGAATATGCTCATATGTTTTTGTGTGTGTATGGGTATGTTAATATGTATGAGAATGGGCACATGAATAAGTACATGAATGTATATGAATATGTTTATGTATATGTGTATGTGTATATATGTAAGTATGTGCATGTATGTGTAAGTGCTGTATATGAGCATGTGCATGTGTATGTATGTATGTATATGTTTATGTGCATGTTCATACCTAAATGAGTATGCATTTATATGTGTATATATATGCATGTGCATTTATATGTGAGAAAATGCATGTGTATATGTATATATGCATGTGCATGTGAATGTGAATGAGTATGTGTAAATGTATGTGCTTCTCATATTCATGTTCATGTTCATGTATATGTGCATGGAAATGTTCATGTGCATGTATGTGTATGTGCCGCTCATGTGCATGTACATATGTTTGTTTATGTGTATGTGCATGTGCATGTGTATATTAATGTGCATGTGCTGTTCAAGTTCATGTGCATGTGCATATGCATATGCATGTGTATTTATATGTGTATGTGTATATGTACATGTGCATGTGCATGTGTATATTCATGTTTGTATATATGCATGTGCATGTGCATATGCATGTTCATGTGCATGTGTATTTATATGTGCATGTATATATGTTCATGTGCATGTGCATGTGTATATTCATGTATGTGTATGTGCAAATGTAAGTATATGTTAATGTTAATGTACATGTGCATGTGCATATTTATATGTTCATGTGTAAGTATGTGTACGTGCATGTGCAAGTGCATGTGCGTGTGTAAATTCATGTATGTGTTTGTGCTGCTCATGCTCATGTTCATGTACATGTGCATGTGCATATGTTTGTTCATATGCATGTGCATATGCATGTTCATGTGCATGTGTATTTATATGTGTATGTGTATATGTTCATGTGCATGTGCATGTGTATATTCATGTATGTATATGTGCAAATGTATGTATATGTTCATGTGCATGTGCTGCTCAAGTTCATGTGTATTTATATGTGTATGTATATATGTTCATGTGCATGTTCTGCTCATGTTCATGTTCATGTTCATGTGCATATTTATATGTTCATGTGCATGTGTATATTTATATGTTCATGTGCATGTGCATATGCATGTGCATGTACATATGTTTGTACATGTGTATGTGCATGTGCTGTTCAAGTTCATGTGCATGTGCATATTCATGTACATATGTTTGTTCATGTGCATGTATGTGTATGTGCCGCTCATGTGCATGTGCATGTACATATGTTTGTTAATGTGTATGTGCATGTGCATGTGCTGTTCAAGTTCATGTGCATGTTCATATGCATGTGTATTTATATGTGTATGTGTATATGTTCATGTGCATGTTCATGTGCATGTGCATGTGCATGTGCATGTGCATATGTTTGTTCATGTGCATGTGTATATGTTCATGTGCAATTGCTGCTCATGTTCAAGTGCATGTGCGTGTGTATATTTATGTATGTGTATGTGCTGCTCAAGCTCATGTGCGTGTGTATTCATGTATGTGCATGTATATGTATATGTTTATGTATATGTTCGTGTGCATGTGTATGTGCAAGTGCATGTGCGTGTGTATATTCATGTATATGTATGTGCAAATGTATGTATATGTTTATGTGCATCTGCATATGCATGTGTATGTATATGTGTATGTATATGTGTATGTGTATGAATATGGTCATATGTTTTTGTATGTATGTTTTTTTGTTTTAAAAGTATCCATTATCATTATGATTCAATTTGAATATTCTGATTATGGTCAAACGATGTAATTAAATCATTTATTTATTTAATTTTAAAGGTTCAATTTTAATATTTTTATAGTTTTATTATTTTTTGCAGCTAAGAGGTATGATTGGAGGTGCTTTGGTAGGTTGATCTGTGTATGTTTGAGCTTCACTGTCTGTTGTATCTTCTTTGACTGATTGTGACGATGTATTTACATTGGTCACTGGTTTACAAAGTTGTTCTGAGGGATCGAATGACTTTGAGTTCTTGATCCATACTGATCTGCGACATTTTTCGTGTTATTAATTTCATTTGTGACATATTTCGTCAAACAAATTTCCAATAATTGGTTATTTTATAAATATACTACAATTTATTACATAAATTTATAATTTTTAGCATTATTTCATGGATATGTATGTGGTATTAGAAATTTATAAATAAGCTAAAATTGGTAAAATAAAAAATATTTTAAATTAAGATTTAAATTGTTAAAAAGTTTTAATTTATAAAGAAAATAAAAGTTCAATTAAACTTTAAGGTTTTTATTATTTTTTAATTTAACATTATTGTTGTTTTGCAGTTGAAAGGCTCCGACTTGCAGCA